GAACAGCAAAGCCCTGATTGATCATATTTATGTGGAAGCATCCTCAGGTAGTGTAGATTCAAGTTTGTTCAAATCATGACCTCTGGGGGTAGGGCGGGGCCACAATGGAGGATAAAAGTCTGAAATAGAAATATGTAGGAAGATATGTTCTGATGAAGAACTGCAAAGCCCTGATTGATCATATTTATGTGGAAGTATCCTCAGGTAGTGTAAATTCAATTTTGTTCAAATGATGACCCCCGAGGGTAGGGTGGGGCCCAATAAGGGGATCAAAAGTTTTACATAGGAACATATAGAAAAAAATTTCTTCTCAAGAACAGAAAAGCTATGTTTAGTCATATTGATATGGAAGCATCCTCAGGTAGTGTAGATTCAAGTTTGTTCAAATGATGACCCCTGGGATAGGGAGGAGCCACAATGGGGGATCAAATTTTTACAGAAGAATATATGGGAATTTTTTTTTAAATCTTCTCAAGTACAACAAAGCCATTTGTTAAAACAAATTATATATTGACATGGAAGCATCATCAGGTAGTTTAAAATTCAAGCCCCCCCCCCCCCCCCCCCCTTGCCAATGTGCCTCTTGTTCTACAAGAGTTGTTCCCCTTTGACCAGAGGCAAATCCACAAGTCTACAGCTACACAAGTGTTTAACACTGCTTGAATTTCACATAAAAAGGGGATAATTATTAGTTTTTGTTTGAGTGTATGCATTAGCAATCAGCATGCACAAGTCATTTAGTTATATAGATCTTCAATAAGCTATAAGACAACTTTAAATACCTTTATTATTATCATTAACAACTTTGTTGATTTATCAAACCTGTGTGAAATTTTGTCATTGTGAAGAATTGTGATAATGTAAACATAGCGTATTCCAACAGATCAATCAATTTTTTTTTCTGTAAACTCTTTGATCTATAATATATACTAGATGTGATATTGATCAGACTTTGTAAATTAGAGAAACCTAGTTACAGCATGGCTGAGATTGATAGTTTGGCCAGTCAGGGTGAAGTTTCTGTGCCATTTTGTTTGACTTGATGACGTAGTAACAAAAACACTCAAGCAAAGGTTCCTAAAAGCTCAATAAGAAATAGTACAAGATATTCTCTTACATCTTGGTGTAATAATATTAGTTATGTAGACACTTAGAGGGGTAATACGGAAATATATGGGGTCCTTGAAAAAATGCATATTGGGCTCGACTTACGTCTCACCCAATATGCATTTTTTCAAGGACCCCATATATTTCCGTATAACCCCTCTAAGTGTCTACATAATGAATTTATCCTGTCAAAGATTTTTTTTTTTAATAAAGTTCATTTTCTCTGAGTTAAGCAAACCCTTCCGTAACAATTATTTACATTGTGACGTTGTTTGATGCTTATATGACGTCAGTTATTAGGCTCCTTGCGTGTTCAAATGAAAACATGATCTTAACAGTATGGAACGTGGAGGGGGCATATTGATTTGATAATATAAGTGGTGGGTAGGTCACATGGAGGGGGAATGTCGGTAGGCAGCATAATAACGTTTAATACAGTATTCTTCTCAACCAATGAAATTTCAAGATTTTTATGAGAGGCTGGATAATTCTATTTAGTGAGAGACTGGTTGATGATTTCACTTTATTGAAAAACATGTATTACTAAATGCCAAACATTTCAATGTGCCTGATTATAAAATTTCAAATAAAAAACATTGAAAAAATAACATTAAAACTCAGTTTTAATGGAATATTTTAATTTTAATGGAATGTTGAATAAGAATGCAGTAAAACATAGTCAAAATAAGTTGGAGGAAATCAAACAAAAGTAATATTATAGAAAAAAAAAAATCCTGAAAATGTGTATCATAAAAGTTGATAAGTTACATTCATAAAAAACAAGCATTCAGAGAGTATTGCATTAGCAATACTAGTCCCCTACCAACAAGTGTAATCTGGTTCCTATTAAGAATTGAAAATGCCATAATTCCGTCAAAAATTAACGAAGTGGGACGAAATGCAAACTTGATTTAGGTAAAGCCACATACCAAAAATCAGCTCAATATCTGCAAGCGTTTAGAAGAAAATTGCGGAAAACCTCTAAAAATTGAAAAGGCCGTAATTCCGTCAAAAATCAATGAAGCGGAATGAAATGCAAACTTGATCTGTAACTCATCAAGATACACTCACATACCAAAAATCAGCTGAATATCTGCAAGCATTTAGGAAAAAAGTGCGGAAAACCAAGTGGGACAGACTGACAGAGGGACAGACAGACAGACAGATGGACGGACAGACTCAGAGGAAACCTATAGTCCCCTCCGGTTTCACCGGTAGGGGACTAATAACATGATTCTCTAATTTCTGACCTACATTTTTCTATCAAAGGTGATTGGTGAAAGTTTTGTAATCTCTTTTACACAGATGTACAAGTATCTATACCTGACCCAGTTGTGAGCCTTTTACTGCTATCTGTTTGGGTTTTAGTTACCTGATTAAGCAGGTAACCAGGAGTCTTTAGTGTCTTCTATCACACCAATAATCCCTGATAGCCTGTGTATTCCCTATTCAGTTGAGGTCTTTGATCTGCCCACAAAACATTTACAGATTAGTGTATTGCCCAGTGTCTCTCAATTATACTGACATGTTGAAATTTAAGTAGGATGGCACAATAGTGATTCATTTTGCTCTTCATTTAGAATTCATACATTCCTAAGGATCTTTATCTGTGCACATTTTGAAATAACTGAAAAAAATCTAGGTTGCTATTTTACGTTTTTTAATCCTTTTTTTTTAAAGTACTATGGAATCATTTTATTTCATTAGTGCGATGTTCATGACTTTCAGGAGAATCCCTTTCTCAAAAATTCACAACCATAAAACTTGTTTGTCAACAAAATTGTCAATTTTAAGCACCCCCCCCCCCCCAAAGAATTTACTCACATGAATTGAAATGTATCTGAAAGACTGAAGAGAATATCACACTCTTATAAAAGTTGGTTGCACCATTTTTTCTAAGTAACATGTTTTTTTCTTTTACTTTACAAGATAAATTAGTGATCAAGTGGTGCAGATTAATTTCCATTTAGCTACATCATTGTGATTGAAGAGATCTTACATTACACTGAGGAATATTCATGTGGGGTATTGTTGGTTGTCCTTGTAGTATGATTAAGAACATGCACTAAGATGTACATTACATAACATTATAAAGAAAAAATGTCCTCTGATTATAGGTTAGTCAAGTAGAGGGGATGGAGAGCCATTATGTGGATACCCTGCAGAGCCAAGGATAATTTGACTTTGCGGTGACATTGGGTGCAGCTACAATAGAGGATAGCCAATTACATTCCTACCTCCAATTACAGTTTAGACACAACCACTGAAGGATGAATATTGTTATAAAGATCATTAATTCTGCACCGGAGTTTGAAAACTTTAAACAGAACTTTATTCATCTGTTGTAGTTTTTGAACATAAAGAATTTTAAATGGCTATCAGAATGGACAATGTTTACATTCGCTCTTTTGAAGTGCAAGTTGTGAAAGATTTGGATTGTATTTTTTAGAATGATTAAAGCTTTAGAAAATTGTATCTCTGTTTATACTTGATCTTGATTTAACTCTCTGATAGATGGTATGGATTGCATGTATTCAGCATATACATGTACAACAATGTGCCTCATTAAATAAGGAGTACAGTAAATATGTTTGTTTTTTAAAAAGTGTTAGTCCTACCACTTGAATTTTGTTATGCAAGAAATGTATAATACATGCATTTATATATATAAATGAAATATGATTATATTACATAATATTACATCTTTCTGTATGTAAAATTCTTCATTGCCAGTATTTCTGGTTTGCGGAACTTGTCATTAGAACAAACTGTAAGTTTTAGACTTTAAGTGTTTATTTAGAGTCTTAGAGGCTTCAGAATCAACAATATATCTGCCAGACTCCTCTTGATTAAGTACCATAAACTGGTTCCCAGCCTGTGACTAGAGATAACCATTATCTGGTGGAAATCAGCACCTTACTTCCTGTTATTGTCTGCCAGAAATAACATTTATGACAACAGTACCCAGACAGCACTCAGTGGCCAACATACAGAATTCTTCAGTATATCTTTTGAAGTCTATTTAATAAGTACTTAAGTTTTCATGTAATTGATTTTCAGCAATTGGCCATCTGCTAGTGTGATGATCTAGGATTTTAGAATCGGCCTTTGATTTCTCTCTGGTAAACATGGAATTGGTTTCAGATATGACATCTGTATGTCCTTCAAGTGCTTGTGATTATGTAGGATTGTGAAATAGAACATATTAGCACACATTTAAATAAAAATGCAATAAAAGTGTCATAAATAAGGCAAATGATGTCCCTGTCACAGACCAATTGATCCATAACTAGATGCAGTTTTAAGAGACCATTATTTTGCCATGCAGGTGTTTGAGAATCTATAGAGCCTTGTGTGTCCTTGTAAATGCAACATTTTGGTGAGCAATGAATCCTTTCACCCTGTTGATAACAACAGCACATGACATAAGTATCCTATACATAAAAATGACTACATGCAGTCATATTCAACTAAACAATGTCTCCTTAATAAATTAATGATGTCAGTAAGGTAGACTTCCTGTTGATGTACTAGTCATTGAGGTAGACTATTATGTTGATGTGCTAATCAGTGAGGTAGACTATTATGTTAAGGTGCTAATCAGTGAGGTAGACTACTATGTTGATGTGCTAATCAGTGAGATAGACTATTATGTTGATGTGCTAATCAGTGAGGTAGACTATTATGTTAAGGTGCTAATCAGTGAGGTAGACTATTATGTTGAGGTGCTAATCATTGAGGTAGACTTTTATGTTGAGGTGCTAATCAGTGAGGTAGACTTTATGTTGAGGTGCTAATCAGTGAGGTAGACTATTATGTTGAGGTGCTAATCAGTGAGGTAGACTATTATGTTAAGGTGCTAATCAGTGAGGTAGACTTTATGTTGAGGTGCTAATCAGTGAGGTAGACTATTATGTTAAGGTGCTAATCAGTGAGGTAGACTTTATGTTGAGGTGCTAATCAGTGAGGTAGACTATTATGTTAAGGTGCTAATCAGTGAGGTAGACTATTATGTTAAGGTGCTAATCAGTGAGGTAGACTTCATGTTGATGTGCTAGTCAGTGAGTAAGATTTCCTGTTGATGTGCTAGTCATTGAGGTAGACTTCCTGTTTATTTGCTAGTCAGGGAGGTACTATTATGTTGATGTGCTAATCAGTGAGGAAGACTTCTGTTTGGATGCTAGTTAGTGAGGTAGTCTTCCTGTTGATGTGCTAATTAGTGAGGTAGTCTTCCTGTTGATGTGCTAGTAGTTAGTGAGGTAGTCTTCCTGTTGATGTGCTAATTAGTGAGATAGACTTTATGTTGATGTGCTAGTAAGTAAGGGAGACTTGCTATAAGTGTTGAGGTGCTTATCAGTGAGGTAGACTTCCTGTTGATGTGCCAGTCATTGAGATAGGCTTCCTGTTGATGTGCTAGTCAGTGAGTAAGATTTCCTGTTGATGTGCTAGTCATTGAGGTAGACTTCCTGTTTATTTGCTAGTCAGGGAGGTAGACTATTATGTTGATGTGCTAATCAGTGAGGAAGACTTCTGTTGGGATACTAGTTAGTGAGGTTGTCTTCCTGTTGATGTGCTAATTAGTGAGATAGACTTTATGTTGATGTGCTAGTAAGTAAGGGAGACTTGCTATAAGTGTTGAAGTGCTTATCAGTGAGGTAGACTTCCTGTTGATGTGCTAGTCATTGAGGTAGGCTTCCTGTTGATGTTCTAGTCAGTAAGGTAGACTTGCTGTTGATATGCTAATCATCGAGGAAGACTTCCTGTTGAGATGCTAGCCAGGGAGGTAGACTTCCAGTTGATGTGCTGGCTAGCGATGTAGACATCCTTTTGATGTGCTAGCCATGGAGGTAGACTTCCTGTTGATATGCTGGCTAGCGATGTAGGCATCCTTTTGATGTGCTAGTCAGGGAAGTAGACTCCTAGTTGTTTTGTTAGCCAGCTGATATATATTAGCCAGAGAAGTAGACTTCTTGTTGATGATTTCCTTTTGACTGAGAATCAAAACTTGAAAGGAAATGATATGGACATATAAAATTAAGTGTGTACCTATATAGAGAGGTGGTCATAGGAATATGTGATCCTCAACTTGCTGTAATGTTTTATGAGGTCATTCAATGACCATGCTTTGGACTCTTTATTTGAATAACAGAACAAATCGGAACACAGCATAACGCTCACTTTGTTGTATCGTATGATCTTTTAATCTTGTGCAATATCTTTTTCTCAGAGTTTTATGATTTGAAAAAAGATGTTTGTTACACCTGAATTAAAGAGTTAATGACAAGGTAATGCAATGTACATGCCAGAATGTGCACAAAGTAAGAAGTCCTCAAAAGATCTTTTATTATCAAGCTTACGATTTCATCCTGAGCTAAATTATTCTAATTTATAATCATAAAATCTTTCTTGTTGACTATCATTACAAGTTATTACTTTGAGAAATTATGGCAGTTTAAGCGATTTTTGAAAGCGATGCACTTAATGGAGTTGTGTGTTTTTGAGGTATATATACATGTCATTATCACATGTATCACACACCCATTTATTTCATGCTAGAGGTACTGTAAGCACTGAGCTCGCACAATGATATCTTCCATTCCCATTTGAGATAATTTTTTGCTATGGGAAAGCCCAAATATCGGTCCGATCAAAACTGAAAATAGGAGGTGAACATTGAATGACACTATTTAATAAAGATTCTGCGAAAGTCTAATTAAAATATTATTCAGTGGCATAGAAGTTGTGGATAAGAGACGGGTATCTCCAAGTGTAACGGACGGATAGACAGCTAGACGCACGGACGGACGGTCACCTCCATCACTTTATACCTCCGCTTTTCAAGCGGGGAGGGGGGGGGGGTATAATAATGACATAAATATCCAAAAATTGAATCGAGGTTGTGCAAAACATGTACGAATTCTACTTAAAATTATTAAACTGGAGTCCTGGTTTTACCAACTGATGCGTTTCTTTTTAAGGAAATCGAATTTTATTCCTGAAAGATCAAAATTTATACTCATGAAATTAGTTTGATTTTTTCAAGGGCTGTTAAACATCGATTAATAGTTACCCAGTTTCTCCCAATTTTCCTTGTTTGACTGGTATATCTTGCATGCATCTTTCCTTTCCTTTGACAGATTTTACATATTAAACATGTAAAATGCATTTCTATTTTGTCATGCATTTCAAGAGTGACCAATTTACTTCTAATTGTACATTGAAATATCAATATCGGTCATTATGTATTTTGTAATTTTTGTTACATCAGATTAATGATAAAACAAACTCCTTAGATTTTATTTCTTAAGAAAAGAAAGGCTTAGACAAGCCTTGACAAAATACTGCCCAACACTGTAAGTATCGTATTTTACATATTGATTCAAAAGCTTAAGTTGCAGGGTTTTCTAAACCGAAGAACTGTACAGTTCTATTGATGAATGAAGCACCATTACATCGTAATATATCGTTATTCAAGGTCATGCAAGGAATAGAGAGTATTTTCCCACCAGCATTATGTTTCTCTGTAATTTAGACTATTCAAGTCCTATTACACAACTGACAAGTATTCGTGTATTTTTTGTTAAAAAAACAAAAGCCGTTGTGATTGGTTCAAAAGGGAATGTGGTGCAATATTTGGTGTTAGGTTTCACACGCCTACAGATAGAAGAGATTCCGGAAAACAGGACATCTTTCTGTTATCTTACGCTAATTGTCAGCTGTTAATCAGCTGATGACAGTGATAAGACTAGGTCAGATCTTTGTCCCCGATTCTTGTCCCGAATTCAAATGTTTTGTTGTCACCTCAAAGATGCTTTGTAGAAATAGAGACTTGTCAAAGATATGGATGTATCATTGACTGTGGAATGCAGCTGCAGTTACGGAAACGTAAGACAAAATGCGTTTGACGGAAACAAAGATGCATGTTCATTCTTTACGCAGAAAACCCAGGAATAATTCACACTTAGTTGTAAACTAACATACACAGGGTACATCGTCAAACCCTCGAAATATTGCAAGCGAGTGATCAAAGCTACTTGAAATTAGCAAACATATTAAATAAAGGTCAATAGTAAAACTACAATTTTTTAAAGTCATTTTTGTAAGAAAATGGGACATATTCAAGTACATTTGTACTACTCCCAGTATGGATTATTTGTAGTAAATTTTGATCATGATAATTTAATTCTCGTCCTTGTCGTGTGTCAAGAACTAGATTCTAGCAGGTCAAAGGTCCAGAATAATTTTGCAGTGTTGCATTTTAAATAACTTTTTTTGTACATCAAGATATGTAAATTTCGAAATTTAAAAAAAAATTCACTTAACCTTTTCTTTTTCTCATTTGGTCCTTTTTTCTCTTATTATTCCCGTGTAATTTACTTGCTATTTCAGAATAAATGACATTGGGACTACTTCTGTCTTGTGTGTTTTTATATTCGGAGGGATAGGGGTGTCCAGAATTCGAAGAATTCTAAATT